AAATTCATTTTAAGAAAATTCTCCATGTAATTCTTTTTCTTTGATAATGTTATCTTTTTTCGTTGAATTATTTTAGTGTAATATGTGTGTATATTGTATGGAATTCATTGTTGTATACTTGTTGGTTTTTTTAATTTTAAGAACTGTTTTTCCGCAGTGGTTATGAATTTATTATTAGCAATTATTAACTTGGAAACTATAAAATACAAAATTAAATAAATAAAAATACTAATAAAAATATTAATAAAATATTCTTTCTATTATCGATGGAATAGAAAGCTTTTATAGCAAGTTTGCGATAATGATATTCCATCATTCATTGACATTAAAAAATACTGATGAAATATTCACTATATATTAATTAAATATTTTATCAATATTTTCTAATTTTTTAATAATTAAAAATGATTAAATATTTTATCAACATTTTCTAATATTTTATCAACATTTTCTAATTTTTTAATAATTAAATATGATTAAATATTTTATCAACATTTTCTAATTTTTTGATAATTAAAAATGGTTGGAGATATTAGTTATTTTGTTTTACTTAACAAACATGGTCTCAAACCGTTCATATAGGAACGCATGGTACATGCATCAATACATATGGAGCCCCTAACAATTAGAAATGTTTTTTTACCATGCTATTAAAAGCGTCACTGCATTCTTTTCCTGTTAATATCATACGTGTCATGATGAAGTTTTTTTTTTCTTGTTCCCTGGAGATTATAGTTTGATCTTTATTGTCGTTGATATTTTAATTTCAATTTATTTTTTTTTATTTTTTATTTTTCTTCTTAATTCTTTTATAACAATTTTATTTATTTTTAATTTCATCCTCAATCTCAATTTGTAATATATTATTTTTTCTAATTTCATCTCCATTGTTTTGATTTTTTTTTATCTTTTATTAAATTGATTTTTTTTTAAAATTTCACACTTCAATAAAAAATTTGGTCATATTTCTTATTTCAATTTTGATTATCATTCGTTTGATTTTGTTTTTAGTATTTTTTATCAAATTAAATTTTCTTTTCAATTTGACCCTTTAGTCAAAGATCAAATTTATTTTGTATTTCAATCTTAATTCTTATTATTTTAATTTATATTTTTCTGTTTTAAATCATTATGTATAATTAATTAATTTTTTTTTAATTTCATTATTGAATTTTGATTGATTGAGAATTTAATTTCATAATTTTTTAAAATAGAACGCTTCCAGTCTTATGACCTAGTCAAGAGTTTTAAAAGTTAATGTATTCTGACACTAGCTTTCTTTTTTGTTAAAAAAAATTAACTTTGTGATTTTCATCATTTTTTTTTATTAGGTTATCTCGATCTTATAACTTAAGTTGCGAATTTAACCAGATAATTTGAGTTGACTCGATCCTAATTATCAGATTTATAGGCTATTATGCTAACTTGGATTGATTTACACTGATTTTTTTAGGTTTTTCTAATCTAGTTTCATCATTTCTTGTTTAATGAGTTGAAAATTGAGCTACATCGTTTATATCTTTTTAGAAAAATATTTTTTTCATAAGTTATTGTGATTTTTTTTTAATTTGACCTATTTATTATTTAATTAAAATAAACCAACTTAATTGATGAAGTTAGGTTTTACGTATTCATCTTCTTTCTTTGAAGTGTATTTGGGGCACTTATATATATATAACAAATGCACGACCAGTAATTATGCTATAAACTAACACTGGACTTTAATTTCGTTTAAAATAAAAATAAAGTATAAATGCATGGAGTAATATCATGTTTATTTGGACACCTATAAGGCATTTATTTAATATCATGTTTATTAACAAACGTGTATTTCTTATTAATTTTTACCATCTACACGTCATGAGTAATAATTGAGATGCTATGATTCGTTTCTAATTATTAACTAATGATGTAAATAATTTTAAATTAACAAATAATAATTATTTAAAAATCTGAAATTACTGCTAATTGTAATTGTTTTTATACTTCGAATGCAATGTAAAGCTTATATGAAGGTAATCTTTTTCTAGCATGAAAGAACAAAAGTTACAAAAAAAAAAATGAATTTATAAATTATTAAAAAAACAAATGAATTTATAAATTATTTTGAAATGTTTAAGATTGTAATAGCGATTATTTTTTAAAATATTTTTTTATTATAAAATATATTAAAATAATATTTTTTATTTTTAAAAAAATTATTTTTGATATTAACATGTTAAAATAATAAAAAAATTAATTTAAAACAAATAAAAACCATTCATTCATTTAGATGCATGTATGGAGTGATTCTGTCGATGCTTTTTACTGTTTTGTCTTGGAGCATGGCATTATTGTCCTTTCATGCAAATAGTATTAACTTTCAATAAATGCTAGATGATATATTACAAACCACTGCAAGAGTTTTTTAATCTTTAAAGATTATTATAACACTGAAAGAAAAGGTTTATACAGAGGTTCTATGCGCATTTAGCCGTAACTTTAAAAAATTCGGAACAAAGAGATGAAAGAGTTTGGCAATCTTCATGCGTGTTCCTGATGGGATGGAAGCTTGTTTTAGTTTTTTTTTTTTTTGATTAACATAGATTTTTTTAAATCAGTTTATATATATTTTTTTATTAATTTTATAAATTTTAAATTTAATAATAATATAAATTTTTAATAGCTTCATGAATAAATCTAAAATCTAAATAATTAAATTATATTTTTTTATGATTTAATTTTTACATTGGGACATACAACATTAATGTCTATTTTTTTAATAATTATTTTTATATAAGTATAAATTTAATTTTAAATGTAATGATGATAATGAAAATAATAAGTGTTTTTTTGGTAGAGAAAGCAATGAAAATAATAATGAGTAAAAATGAAACTTGGTAGTACTGGTAGAAAGGTATTATAGCTTTCAATATCTAGGATCAATTATAGTATTGATTGTAATTTAATTATTTTAATAATTAAATATATTTATATCGTATTTTCGCATCATTTGGGTTTCTAAACTCTCTTGAGACTTTTACTTTGAACTTTTTATTTTATTTTTTTACAAATAAATCCTTAATCGAATTACTATAAATACAATTTAGTCTCTATATGATATTATTTATTTAAGACCCTACTTGTCAAATTATAAACTTGGTTAAAATTAATTAATAATTTAAATAGTTTAATGGAAAAGATGATAGTTGAGTGGATATAAATAGGTATCTTAAAATAATTGTTTTCCTATAGTATCACATATTTATTGCCATAATTTTCTTGTTAAAAAAATTACTTTTAAAATCTCAACTAAAACAAATCAAGATAAAACATCATAAAAAAATTTAGAGAAAACGAAGAAGAAATATTCTAATGATAGTCTTAAGATATTATAATAAATAAAGGTTTTATCAAATATAAATTATTATTTTTAAGTCATTGAAGTGTTTTTACATTTTAGGGATCAAAATATACACCAATAAAATATTCCATACTATAAATAGATAACACTAGAAAAGTGGTTCATGTTTTGCCATGGACCTAAACAATTTTTTTTTAATTTAAAAATGATACTCCTACCTGGTTTAAATGAGAAAAAAAATACATGTTCATTCAATTACAAGATAGAAAAAACAACGACAAATAACGATAATCAAAAGAAAATGACTGATTGTTAAAAGAAAACAAATTATACAGTTAAATGTCAAGATAATTTAATATTAAAAAATAAAATAAAAAAATAAAAAAAAATAAGACGCGTTGAATCAACCTGAACTACCATGTCAAAAAAAAATAAAATAAAAAAATAAAAAAAATAAGACGCGTCGAATCAACCTGAACTACCATGTCAAACTAAAAACTCATAAAAAACAAATTGAAAATAATAATGACGATCAATCCCCGACAATCTAATTATAGAAAGCCAAGAAAAAAATTAATAAAAAATTAAAAAAATAAAATAGTTGTAAATCAGGTGGCCAAATCTTGTGAGTTGTTAATAAGATAATTTATAAAAAAGTAATGAAAATTAATTTATTTTAAAAAATAAATTTTGGAAAACAAAACTATATGGTGTGCTTTCAAAAGGATAAAGAAAGAAAAACAAAAGGATTAATTTTTTTTTCCTTTCTTTAAGTTGTTTCCAGTAAAAGAGAAGGAGATGAGAAGAGGGGCTATGTTGTGCTTGTAGAAGTAGAAGTGTTTTGGTTTTTAAAATGAGAGTTTTTTTATTATTGGGTGTGGGTCGGGATATTTTTGTGCGTCCTCTCTCTAACTAGTTCACTTTTTTTTTTTTGGTTAAGGAATCCTTGAATTTCTCTCCACAAAAATTCCTTCCCCCATTTTTTGCTGGGAAAAACAAATTCGGTTTTTATTTTTTTTTAAATTTGCTTGCTACTTAAACAATAAAAAAATCACTTATTTTTTTTTCCTTTGTATTTTAGGTCCCCTTGTCCATCCACTCATACACACACAAAAGGTTATTAAAAACAAGTTTTGACTTGTAAAATCATTCAATTTTACAAGTCAAAATGTGTAAAACATATAAAATCAGGTTTAATATTTAAAAATCAGTAAAATTAATTAAATCCAGTCAAACCCGATGAAAATCATGTTAACTCGTAACAAAACATGAAACTGGTCTGATTTCATGATTTCACGTGAAATGAAAAACAACTGCCGACTCTACGCCTGACACTCCAAGTCCACGTCTCCAACCTTCCCCTTTTCAACCTTCCCCTTTCCCCAAATCGTTTTAGGTTTGTTAAACTTTTAGGCTTCTCGCATCAGATTAGTTGATGACATGAACTCACTAATTGACTCGTTGAATTCCAGTGTTCCAACATGTTCCTTGCAAAGGAAAATGACATCCGCCTTGGCATGTAAGCCAAAAGAAATACTAGTCAGAAGGATTTTCTTCTTCATTAAGAGTAATATATCTTGTGTGACTTTGGACTTGCAAAGCTGCTCAACACAGAAGACCTTGCTTTTCAGTACGGACTTGATTGCATCTCCAGTAAATTACTAATTTACTTTGTTTTAACTTGTCAATTGAAATTACACTATTGATTTCAAACTATTACAACCTTTTTTCTCATCTTCTTAATGTATCTAATGCCTACAACTCAGATAGTGTTTGGGTACCATTTAGGGTCCCAGTATGTATAGATCCAAAATCCTAAGAGCTGTTGTTTGAACTACTTGTCTTAAAATGGTTCTTTTCATCTTTCTGTTTTCTATGCCATTGCATGTCACTGAGGTAGTTGGCACTCCTAATTACATGTGTCCTGAGCTCCTAGCAGATATACCTTATGGCTACAAATCAGACATGGTCAATTGGTAAGAGATCTGGAAGCATGGTTTTGAATTTATCAAATTTACTTCTGCACTGGCAATAACATCTATCTGAGGTTTCAGGATGCTGTATGTTCGAAATTGCAGCACATCAACCAACATTTAGAGCTCCTATAAGTACAAGCCTGATCTTCTGCTACAAATGTAGCATAAATATAATTTGGTTACCAGCATAGCACCTGCAATTTACTTTAGTATGAACTTCAAAGTATGATAGGGAGCTACCTACTCTTGCCGTTGAGATCTAGTCAGTAGTCACTCTTTTAGCCTTCTCGCATTAGATCAGCTGAAAAGGTATGTTTGATTACCTCCCTCCTACTACAATTTTGGTTTGCTTTGTTCTCCAAATCTTAGTCTTTTGCAACGAATATAACTCGATGAGAAGGAATTCGCACTAACATAATTGAAAATTGCATTTGATTGTGGAAAGGGAGTGGCCTATTTAGAAAATTTACTCTCTAAATTTGGATCTATATTGTAGAATCTAAATGTTGTCTGACATACTCTCTCGGATTTGTATATCTTAACACTTCTCTTTTGGGTTTCTACTTCACCTAGCACTGTTTGGAACTTTGAAACATAGTACGTGGTAGTTTGTTTCCTTAGTTTTCGCAATATGTTTATTTGTTTTCTCATCAAGATGTTGGTTGAAATGGAATGTGATATCATATCTCAATAACGCTATAAAGTTAGTTGAGACTTCAGGGAAATAAACTTGTTGTTTATTTTAGTTGAGTTTTTATTTTAGGTTTGTTAACTTTAAGTTAATGAAATTCTATAGACATGTACTAATTTTTATTTGAATTATGTATTTTAAGGTGTTGAATATTTGTATTGTTTATTTTAATTGTGTTATATTTTTATTTAATACTTGACTAAATGTGTGTTATATTTTTATTTAATACTTGACTAGATGTTACAATTTAGTTAAAATATCTTACTTGTGATTTTAAAATTTTAATTAAAATATTTTATGATTTTAGTTAAAATATTTTATCTGCGATTTTATGATTTGAGTTTATATTGCATATTCCGTGTTGTGTCAAAAAAGTATTTTTGGCAGCCTTATATATATATATATATATATATGATGTTTTTATTTTATTTTGATATTTTGAAAAAAGATAGCATTAATATTTACTCGATGAGAAAAATAAATAATGATTTTGAAATGAATTTATTAATAAATGAACACATTAAAAATAAATTTTTGAATTCTTAAAAAAACATTAAAAATACCAAAAATAACACAAATATATCAAAAATATATTTTTTGTTGTTTTTGTGCTATTTTTGTATTAAAAAAACTTTTAATAAAATGAGGTAAAACATCGAGTTATGACAATTGGCATTAAGGGAAAATTTGGTACCTTTAATTTGGTTTCTTTGTTATTATAATGTCAAGGGACAATTTTGTATTTGGTTAAATATAAAAAAAATCAAAAGCCTAGTGAATCAATCAAAATATCCTTTGAAGTCAAAAAAATAAAATTATCCATAGGATTTTTTCATCCTTTCCTAATGGTTTATATATATATATATATTAACATATCAGATTATGGGTAATTTGATATTTGTCTAAGTATAAAAAAATAAAAAACATGGGGCACATAGGAGGCGGCCCATGCAGCATCTCCCAACATCCGAAAATGTCATTCTACCATGTCATTGAAAGCACCACTGTGTCCATTTTCTATTGGTGTTGTGCATGTCACTGTTGCTGATCTAATTTATCCTAATGGGTTTTCTTTTTTAAATTCCCCCTTTCTTTTCTCTCTTTTCCTTTAAAAATTATAGCTTGATCCTTTTTATTGTTGATATTTTAATTTTAATCTTTATTCATGTGAATTCTAATTTTTTGTTTTGGTCCCTGGCACGACCAAAAGAATGATGTCTTCTCCCAAGTACAGGAGTGTTGAAGTAATAAATAACCCGACAAGACCGGGGTCGAACCATATGGAGGTTAACTATATAAATTACAAATAATAATAATATAACCACAACAACAATAAGAACAAAAATAAGATGTTAAAGAGGATTTTGAGATTATAAGATTAATGTGAGGATTAAATAATTATAAAAATAAATGTCAAGATTAGAGGATCCATTAATGGTATTTCAAATAAGTATAGTATAAATTTTTTTTATTACTCTACTGGAAATCATATACAAAAGAGGTTCTAATCGGATTATAAATTGTTAACATGATTACATTAGTTGTTTTATTCAAATAATGCTAATACTTATAAATGTTGTTAGGTATTTATGATTATAATTTATATTAACAACAAATCAAGTTCTTTTCATAACATAAGTGTCGGTTATACCATACAGTTGGGCTATGAAAGTGCCAAATATTTGTTGTACCAAGTGTTATACAACAGAAATCTAGATTAACTATTTAATACGCAAAGTATTAAGAGTAAAGAAGATAACAAATGCAAAACATGGTAATATCAAACATTAAACTCCATATTGAGTTTACACTATACTTATTCTTACACCATTAGTGTAAC